ACATTGATACAAATTATGTGCACACAAATATTTAAAATCTGAATTTATATCCCCAGCTGCATACCAGGATCATTAATGTTTTCTAGAAACATAATCAGTGCTGTAATGTACCTGCGCAAATCGCACCCATTACTCAGCTCACTGACAATGAGAAGTAAGAGACACTCAGACTACTTGGCTTCTCTTAAATGTCATCTTCTTCCATAAGCCAATCAAATCAAATTGAGAAGTTAGGCAGAAGCGAACTCGACACTGCAGCGATTATGAGCGAGGGGAGAGAAACGCTGCAGACTCCTCATCCTGCTCCATCTCCTCCTCTCTGTCTTGGCCCCTAATCCACTTAGTTGCCTCTTTCCTGAGCTTAGAGCCTTTCCCTTATTCCATTATAAAGACCCACTGTACGACCTGCTGCTTATTTCATTAAAAAGGCCCTATCCATGACCCTATGTCTAATCCATAATGTAGACTACGGGCCAGGCACGGCCTGCTATAGTCCACGCCACGTTCCAGCTGACAGATGGAACACCGGGAACAGGGATGGAGAGAAGGAGGCCCAATGAATGAGGGAGAATTTGAGAGCTCCGCTTATGAGTGAAGCTTCCCGGTGAATGTGATTTCAATGATGTAAATGATGATAGAGCTGAGGCTGTGCTACTCTGCCTTTGATGGTTGGAGATGGCTTTCACATGGCCCATCAATGATATGGAAATGGCCAGATCTGGGGTTTGAATATAGCCTGCAAAATGAACATACAGCCCAGGGCTTTTAAAACCCCAAACACCTTGGCTTAGAGTTTCAATTGTAGTCAGTACTTTTGCTCATTACAGTTAACCTTGGGAGAACTTTGCAACACAAAGTGAGTGACGCTGAATCCTATGATAATATTCTATCAACCCGATCCAATTTAACTTTCCCCACGCTGCCTCTGTTTGACCTTCTCTCCACTCTGCCCACTTCAAAACCCCCCGCCCCACCTCTGGCTGTCCTCTACCCCAGACGCCCTCTCGCCGCTCGCCTGAGATCCGGTTTGCTGAGTGTTTTCATCGCGTCCACAAATCTAAATTTACAACCTCACTCTCATCAAATCCAACTTGCCTGCGTTTGCACTTATTGGCCTGTCAGGTTACCTATTTATTGATAAAGCAGCAACATTTGCCCCCATCCTCCCCCAAGTACCTGACTTCCCGCATACCTGTGCCAGCTTTTTAGAGCCTGACCAGTCACTCTGACAATGCAGCGTCAGATAAAAGTGAAACGCTTTCCACAGAGGTAACATCTTACACCGTTTGATGGGAAAACAGCTTGCTCTGCTGTCTCTGTCCGCGGTCAGTTTGGGTTTTTAAAAAGAGTTAACCAATAATAATTACTTTTAACTGGGTTCAGTCAGAGAGCCACAGCTAGAGGCCCGGGGACATACAATACGGTCAGGAAGTGACTACAAGCCTCTCTCCATCGATAACACCAGCATATCTCATTACTGCTGCGACCTGTGGTACACTGCCACTCGGGCTTGATCATATAAAACCCATTTCAGCGCGCTGTCCCCGGTGGAGCTCCAGCAGAGTGGAATATTCATTATTCAAATTTTAAGCATTGGAAATCCTAATATGTTACTAAGGCCAGATGAGATGAGATGGAATGGCTTAGCCTTTTGTCCAGGGAACATTGACTAATCGTCTCGCTCCCCTAAAATCAATTTCCCAGCCGTAAGCATCAGACACTCCTGATTGTACTGTACTGTTGAGGACCCCCCACCACTATCACCTAATACTCCTCCTGGCTGCCCAGAATAACTTATTGATTACTGATTATGTTACGGGAGGTGTGGGTGGCCAGGGCGGAAGACGGACTGGCCTCAGTCATCTCCACAGAGCTAAATTTGGCTCCTCTGTCACCAGATCCAACACACGCTGACACTATCACCAGCTGCCACTGGCCAGGCTCTGAGGATGAGGAGAGAAGTTAAGAGACGTACACAAAGAGAAATTTCCCCCGAGCTAACAGTGTAAGTGTAGCTGTTTCAAGCAGAGTGGCACAGCGGGGATTTCATGTGTGATGATGAATTCTTAGATGCTGCGCGCTTGTAGGCCACTAAATAAAGCGTTTGCTCGAATATATCAAAGCCAGAAATGGTTGATTGTTACATTTTCGGAGTTTGGTTGCGGCTCTAGTTTGGCGAGGGACTGTTGCAGCCAGGGGTCGATCCCTTGCTCTCTCTGATGCTATGCTGAGCCTGAAAAGTGGCTGTGATCAATACCTGCAGGCCCTTTCACCACTGCCAGAGGGCTGTTTGTGTTTGTGTGCGTGTGCTGTGTCAGCATCCACTCAGGACTTTATCAGACATCCCACCCCCCACCCCCATACCTTGACTCAACACACACACGCACAAACACACAAACACGCACACACAAAGGCCCCATCGGTCAACGCCTCACTCAAACAGTAGCTCATTTTCACTTTCCCCATCTCACTCTCAACCCCTGTCTGCTTCTCTCTCTCTCTCTCTCTCACACACACACACACACACACACACACACACACACACACACACACACACACACACACACACACACACACACACGCACAAATTATGCCTTCTTCTTCTGAGTCCATGCCATCCCAACAAGGATGTTAAATACCATTCAAATGTCAGCCTGCTGTATTGATTGGAATAATAATTCTGGAAGAATTCTGAAAGGCAGGAAAGATGGCTTGTTGATGCTAAGCAGCAGCATGACGGCCCGGGCATCATTCACTGTCACAAAGTTGCCATGTAAGGGTTCCCGGCTCCTCTGGCAGAATGTGGATGGCGGTTTACGTTCGACCACCGAGGCCACGTGTTTCTGTCATTAATCATTGTCTTCACAGGCCAGTGACAGCCAGACCAGGACTCAGGCTGAGAGAGAGTATGTGTGGAGGTGTGGGGGTTGGTGGGGGGGTGTCATTTGAAATGCCCTCAGATCACAGTAGCTGTGTGTGAAAGTGTGTGGCTGAATGTCAGAACAGAGGGTACATTCACTGGCAGGTGAACATACCTTATCTGTCATGTCTGAGTGCAGGAAAAGTAATACTGAACTACAAGCATAAATATGATCAGTTCCATATTGGATCTGGTCTGCGAAGATTCACTAATCTCATATTAAACAGTGTACGCATGTAAAATTAACACTTTCACTTTTATAGCTGGTGCTGGATGTTGCATTCTGTGGCTGCAGTGCCAGTTAATTCTGTATCAGCTACCCTGAAAAACTGGTCTATCGGTCCAAGCGGCTTCTCTCCAAGCCGTTGACTGTACTCTGCCAAATAGTGTGAGTACAGAGAAACATCCCACTATATCGTCAACGACTGCAAGCGTACAGTGTTTTTTTTTTAAGTTAAACAGAGTGCTGACTGTTCTGCAGAGAAATGGTCTAGTTGATCGTTACTGTGATGCATACAGAAGGCTCCAGTTAAAATTTTCATACATAAGATCAATATTTTGAACTAATTAACCTCGCCGCTCTGAATCAAGACCTTCATTATTTTGGTCGAGTTGTGTGAATGTAATGTCAATGTGTCCGAACAATCAATGTCAAAAAATACGCCTCTCACTTAAAAAATTTCAAATTTCCATTGAAATTAATAAAAACAAAACATTTTCACTAACAACGAAACTCAAACACGGAAATCATTCTCAAAGCTAAAAAACTAAAACTAAACCGACGAACCTTTAACTTTCATACTTTGTGGCTGAATTGCTGGGGTTCCTAAACATGTTAACTTTGCAATAATACCACCCACTCTTGATTGTTGAACACCTAGAAAGAAATTTCACAAACTTATTTGCAGCAATGGTGGGATCCTATTACACTATGGCGCTTGAATTCACGGCGCTCTTTAGAACAACTCATTCTTTCACAAATGCTTGTAAAGACAAAATGCATGGCTAAGTGCTTCATTTCGTACACCTATAGCAACTGGACTGAAAACATCCAAAGTTTACAGACAACATACAGCTTATAAAGCAACAATTAATTACTAAAAAAATCAAGCAAATACAATAACATTCCCAGCAAGAGTCATTTCTAGCTTCTTGTACCAAAATAAAATTATGTAACATCATTCAACTTCATTGAATAAGTTTATATTTCTAGTTTTAGTTACTTAAAAAATACAAAGCTACATTCAAGAATTGATAAAAGATTCAGTGGCATTTGGACCCTTACCAAGTTATATGAAATGGAAAACTGTTACTGATGTAATTGAACTGTTGTGGTTTTGCTTTGGTATTTAATATTTCGATTGGAGACTATGTAAGTCATTGTTAAAATGGTTTTCAATTAAAACAAAGTTTAATATTATTTAAATTATGATATCAATATTTTGCAGCTTACCTTTAGTCATTGCTAGCTACTTCTAGCTACTTCTAGGAAGTAGCTAGAAGTAGCTAGCATACATAAAACATGTCTTCCCTGATGGGTTTGTTTGTTGCTAGCTGTTGAACACAGGATTTTGAACACATTTCTCATTAGCAGCTGGAGGTTGTCAGGTGTTTGCTGACTGGTCTAGGCCTTTAATGTGTTTTACAGAAATTTAGCAGCTGAGCATCTTTGAGATTTCTGCTCCTATCCTCAAACATTTATTTGTGCCCTTGACAAAACCCTTTAACCCTTGTTAAGCTATTCTTATTAAGAGTAATGTTTGATTTTAAAAAGGATGCTGGTATTTTATCAAGATATTATAACTGGATAAACCGAATAAAATGGCTCCCATTTTATAAATATATAAATCTGTCTGAGTTTTAATACTTTGCAAATGTTCCTCTTAGTGAACTTCAGTTTAACACATATGTTTTTAATAGTTTTATTTATTTATTTATTTATTTATTTATTTTGTCCTGTACGGAGTTCTTAATAGTTTCATGTTTTGTATTCTTCTCACCAAAGAATTTCTTGTTCATAATCAGATTTACATTCAAAGGTGTGAATTTGTATCAAGATGTAGTCAAAAGTGGCTCTCACCTGGCAGGTACCTCGATGTTGGAGATGGCGTAGAAGTACTTGAGTAGGTTGTCTCTCTGGACATAGGTACCTCCGAGGGCAGGCCTGAGCAGCCTCAACCTAAGGTTGGTGAAGGTGAAGAAGTCCTTCAGTCCCTTCATACTTTCCATTCGGGCGTACAGGTTGTCCATGTTCTGTAGCCGAGGTCCAGCAAACACAGCAAATCGTGCCCGCACCTCAAACTTCACATTCTTTTCAGCCTTGGAGCCAACCCAGCGCGAGTACTGCTCAGTGCAGATGACCCGTGTGATGTTAGCAGGTGAGAGATCGCGCACTTGTTTGGGTGGCATGTTGAATGCATCCAGACAGTCGTCGGCATAGAACTGGTAGGGCTGCCAGGAGCGTCCGTGGTCCATGGACTTATCCAGAGCCATGATCGTAGGGCGGCCATATTCAAAGGAGATCTGGATATCGTCTGTGAGCTCCAGACTCTTGTTCCAGGACATGGTGACGTTGGCCAGCAGGGGCAGTGGGTGGTTTCGCCATGTTACTGTCTGCCAGTAGGTAAGTAGGCCGTTGCGCTCATTGTCCTGCATCAGCTGAGGAGGGTGGGCAAGGTCTGGATTTAAGGCATCGCACTCGTCACTACATAGGTATGGGTTCTCCTAAAAGAGAGATAAAGACAGACAGAAAGGATTTCATTCGGGGTTCGGGAATGACTCTAACAAGAGGAACAGTAATGAATACTTGATAATACAGTGCATATTCCCGAAAATTGCATTTTTATTAGATTACTGCAAATTCACATTGACACTGGGGCCCTTTGAGTCCCTTGGGCAGTTGTCTGCTTTTCTCTTCTGGTCATCCAGCCCTAAATAGGCTCAGCAAATTCTCAATTGACAAGACAACAAAATGTCTTTGCTTTAAAAATGGATTTGTGGTCCCTGCAGTAGCTGCAGCCATCATTACTGCAACGGAAAATTATGTTAAGCTACGGATTTACAAATTCTATTCACAATCATCAGGATGTTCCTTTGTTCCCAGTACAAATGCTGATTCAAAAGATATTTATTTATTCCCACAATATCCACAGCTCAACACCAAAATCTTCCATATTATCCTCCCAAAAAAGACAAAAAGAGACGTGTATGGAGGGCCTTTCCAATGCACCAAGGGACAGAGAGCTTAAAAGTAAACTTGCCAAACAACACAACAGGAAGTGTGAAGGTCAAGAGGATCGTGCATCATCACTGTCTTTGCATAGACAGCAGAGTGCTGCTGCACTTTTAACTCCAGAGAATTGATCCTCCTCTTCTAGTGATGCCAAGACTTTCAAGTTGCTGCCCCTCTACACAACTAAAAGTCAACAGGATTAGTCACGCTGCTCACAGAGAGCTACAAGCCTCTTTACACCTGCAACAAGAAATGCTTCTGTAAGAATATCTCATACATCTCATCTTCCCTTGATACCAGTAAGACAAATTCATCTTCCACTTGTTTAGGCTTGCAAATTCTGAAACAACCCCCCAAAAAACAAAACATAATGAAAAAAACTCCAACAAAAAACATCAGGTCCATTACTACTTTATATACGTGATACAGCACGGCTTTCTCAGCATTGACAAATGTAATCTTTGGCTGGATTATGTTTGGGATCAGGGTTGAGTGAATGAAGTGCTATATTTAGTGTATGTACTGCAGCACAGTCACAGAGAGGAGGGTAAAGGGTGGGCTGCAGCTCCTGACAAGTGATTCCCATCTCTATGTAGATTTAGGTGACAAGGCTGTGCCTTCAGTTCATTTTGTATCAAGACATTTTATATATTAAACCAGACCACAGTCCTTTCCTAGCCCAATTTCTGACTGTCTACACATAACTATAAAATATATCAGTGCTATAGTCATTACACCAATGTTCTGCATGATCTGATATTCCAGCGAAAAGCAAATAAAATAGCTTGGCTTTAATCATTTTAGTAACTTGCCAAATATGTTAATTAACAAAAAACATGGTGTGATAAATGTAATTTCTAGGAGCCTAAGTTAGCATCAACTAACATTAAGAGTTGTCGCAACTCCACCAACTTTTCAAATAAGTTTTATACATCTTTAATTCCACAGATGCTGGCTCGTCATATTAAAACCACTGCAGAGGTTTCAGTGAAATTGATGCAGCTGACTGTTTTAAGCCAGCTGTCTGACATCCCCATCACCACCCAAGTAAAAATATTTACATAAGGAAATCCCACAGATCCGCAGCCATCTCTCTTGGTGCTTAATTTGCAAAGCTCAGCTCTCGTGCTGTTTGGATTGTTTTACATTCAGAAGGCTAACCATGCCCCCAAGATGCACTAATTAGACTGTTAGAGTTATGATTTTCTACAATATTTAGCTGAAGTCACTAATTGCATCAAATACAAATATCTTTGTATTATTTGACCAAGCATTCACTCTATTGCCCTCATATACTGTCTTCTTTCATTACACATCACTTCACATTTAAAATTCAACATGTCACAAACAATACATGTCAGTATATTGTATTTATATATTGAATGTGTGTTTAAATTTATGTCAGTATATTTATTTGTTATTTAAGTTTTTATGTACCTTGTGAAAAAGGATTCCCATAACAGCGTTATGTTTGCATAATTACAATAATGAATCTTCAGCTGTGTTTTCATCCTCCTCTCTGGTTTTCTCCACTCGTAGTAACTGATTGCAGTTCTACAGCTGATGTCATCCTTATTCTTTTATTTATTTGAAATCTGGCTGTCGTTCTGTGTTTTACCGCTGCGTGCTTAACAAGCTCTTGATGGACTAGAGAGTATAAATATCCCTCTTTTTTTCTTCCACCTCTACCGCCCCTGCTTCTCCGCTGCTTCCTCCCCTTTCTTCTTCTCTTTTTTCATCCTCCCATATTATTTTTACTTTTAGCGTTTGTGCTGTTTCTAATTGTAGTGTTTAAGAATGCACCAGCTCAACTTGAAATGTCATTTGGTAAAATAATAGTAATTAGGCTGAAAATAACTACTACAGGGAGAAAAAAAACATGTTTAGTTAAATAATTAGTTTGAAGATTTTCAATTATTATGCAGTAAAGATGGGCTGTTGTAAAGCAGACAAAGTTAGCTTTCATATTTACACCATATAGAAAATTCTTCAGCAAGGTACTGATTCTTTAGCATTTGACCTGCAAGTGAGATCCCAAAACTGGTAGGTTTTTAAAAATTATTTCAAATTTTAAGTTGTTGGACAGGTTTTTATGTGAGTTGGCAAACTGTACAAGAGTCTCGGTGCAATAAATGCAAAGGCTCAATTACCTTAAATGACCTTTAGTCGTTTTTAGGTGAAAATGGGGCCAATGAGAGAAGTTGTTGACAAAATGACCTCAGGGACCCAGAGGCAAAATATGGATTGAAATTAATAGAGTTGATCCACAGGGAGGCTTGAAAGACAACCTATAACCTTTTTAAAATTAATTTTGTATTTAGCCAGGACAGCCAAGCCAAAACAGAAGTGACATGTTATCTTTTATTTGTACCAGTTAGAGTCCAGCTGTGAGGTGATAAAGCTGTGGATTTATGTTTCCATATCCTTTAGAGCCTAAACCAGCTCTAATTAAGTGATGCTTCTCAATTAGTGAAAGCTGAGTTTGCTGATTTGATTAATAAAGGAACTTTCCATAGAAACACCAAGATTTTCAACCAGGAGCACCAGGTGTGTTTGTTAAGATATTTGTGGAGTTTGATGGACCAAACTCAATAGTTTTGGTTTTGGTATCATTTAGTTGAAGGAGGGTCCACAATTTGAGACAAAGACTTTTTTCACTGAGAAGATATTTTCAAGTGTGGCAAGTAGATAAAGTTCAGTATCATCCAGGTATAAGGGAATATTGTGTTTCTGAAAGCTAGAGCATGTATACTGAGAAGAGAAGAGGACCTGATATGGGTCCCTGGGGGTTGTTGCGTTTAGTGGAAGGTGGGGAAGAAGAACAGTTTCCTACTTGGACCTGTAACATCACATATCATGAGCCTTAACAACCAATGAGATGTTTTAACAATTTATCACAAGGATCTGCCATATTGTTTATTCTTGTATTAATTAGACCAAAAGAAAGAAAGAAAAAAACATTTTTCTCTTGATAATACCAATTTCTTGGTCCTGGCTAAAATTCAATGCACATATAATGTGTGTTGTTAAAATATTGTCAAAATGTAATGAATTTATTTATGCAAATATAGTAGTCATTCGATCAATTGAGATCTAATTACTTTTGGTGTAGCCATTTATCAAATTGTAGTCATGGCTACATGTTGAACTGAAAAAGTGTATTACACCATGGATAGAAGCCTTAATGTAGAGTAATGTAATGGTGCTGCTGCTTAAATTTTAACAAGGCTAAATTATATCGCCTGATGATTTCACCACAAATTTGTGTTTCGACGATCAAACACTGACCCTGCAGGGTTTAAAAGTTGGTTGTATAGAATTTGAAGGGGCGCTTGAACATCAAGATGACACAGCTGCTAACAAGCTTGACAGAGTTGGGTCTGAGGTGCAAACGTTTCATGGATATCTGAGTATTTGTAATATATTGAGAATACAGATGGAGAGTAGGAGAAGCGGTCAGAGAAGCTCCTTTGGTTCCCCCCCCCCCCTACTAAAAAGAAATCAAGCTTTCTACAGCCACCTTTCAGTTCCATAAAGATTTTGGGTGGAGTATCACATGAAACAGCAGTTTCTTCTTTCTGTGAAAGCAGTACTGCACAATATTGATGAACCTTGCAAGTGCGTATCACGTGTCGCTGCTTCTTTGCATCTATTGCCAAGCCCTCTTGAATAAAGTCATTGGACTGCGCTACAGAAAAGTGAGCAGTCACTCAAGCTCACTCTAGTGGCCTGATAACAAAAGCAAAAGGTACAATCCTGCGAGGCTGAGATTATAAATCATCTGATTTATGGTGACAGTGCAGAGTGGGGAAAACTCCAAACATAAGCAAACGCTGAGCTGGTGCTGAGAGAAGCTGTATGGCACAAAAGACACTGTGCGGGATCATAATGCATGTGAAGACACAGCAGTGGTATCTTTATACCAGAAACTGCAGATAATCTATCTCTCTGCTCACTGGAGCAACATAGCAGCATTGTTCCCCATCTGATAACCCAATTATCTCTCTTTGCACTGACTCACATCGAGATCGCTGTCAGCGCAAACACACTTAAGATGATCATCTACAATGCTCATAAACAACTGCAACCAGAAAAAGTAATTAGGATCAGATGAAGAGGGTTATAGCGAGCCTCGGAGTGAGAGTAGCAGCTCCGTGGTGGATCAGCTGCTTCTGTGACCTTCAATCCAGACCCGTCCACACACACGTGTTTACACACACTCAAAGTAAGATTAGTACGCCTGTTGTTCTGAGATGACCCTTGACCTACAAATCCGATTGAAAATGATCGCACTGTCACACAGTCCCAGATAGAGCACATATAGGTTAGCTCCTGAAGTGTACCGGTGATAGCATTTCCTGTTTTGTCTGACACAGAAAGCATGTGAGTACCAGACAACATGAGGGAGTCATTACAGTATTTTACAGCATCAGGTCGAAAGCGTTCGCCAACCTCCTCCGACCTCAGCCGGCCCTTTAGGATTAACTAGTCT